GCGACTTCTGATTGCTGGAACTTGACGATAGTAAGTGTTGAGCATTGTTTTGAAGTTCAGCTTCACGACAGCTTGCTGAGGGTAGTTCAGAGTTAAGCTTGTTTTAAGATTCTCATAGATCTCATCCACTTGCAGAACTGATATACCCTTTGATTCCACCAATTTTTGAAGTTGATTTTTACCTTCCAGTAGTCCCAGATTCAAGGCACCCCAGTTGATGGATTGTCCTGACAGTCCACAGTTTCTTCTGAATTGGCAGAAAAGGTCCAGGAAGGAATTGGCAGCAGCATAGTTTGCTTGCAATGGATTTCCAATTAAGGAAGCAACAGATGAATAACATACAAAATAATCAAGAGCCTGTCCCTGAGTAGCGTGGTGCAGATTGATGGCACCAGCAACCTTTGGGCTTAAAACTTTCTCAAAGCTAGAGAGTGTCATATTTTCAATGCGCCCATCATGCAAAACCACAGCACTGTGGAAAACACCTTTGATTGGACACTTTGGAAAGATTTTGCTGATTGAACTGATTGCTTTTTCAACCTCAGGCCAAAAAGTCACATTACACTGCAGACTGATGACCTTGCTCCACTTGTTCTGAATCTGCAAATCACTTATTTCCTTCTGCTTTTCAATGCTGGGCTTTCTCCTTGAAAGGATCACAATGCATCCTCCTCCATTTTGAGCAATAAATCTAACAGTTTCATAGCCAAGCCCAGTGAGTCCTCCTGTGACTATGTAAACAGCATTCTGCTTAAACATCTTCCGCTTTGCTTCATGCACTGGTATGTCAGAAATACACCTGTTCTGCCCATTGCTTTTCAGCACAGCAAATGAGACAGCCTTACAGGTAAAGTAGGATGTTATCGTGTCTATGCTCTCACTGTTTTCTGTCTGCTGAAAAACGGAACAAGGCAAGTCCTTGAATTGCCTGCGTTGCATTGATTTCAACCACTCACTGAAAGGCTTGTGGGAATGTTTCAGCGATGATTTCTGAAAAATGGTTGCAAGACTGAGAATATGAATTTGAAAGTTTTCATGACCGCTTCCAATTAGAGATCGCAAGTGTTCAGAATGGTGGTTGCCATCGATTACCACAACATCCTGAAGATGTGAAAGACGGGCTAAGACGTCTTTGGGTAATCTTTCTAGGAAGGGCAGAAAGACAAGGGCGTTGCATTGAGCTACTCTTTTTTCCAGGCTGCTGTCAAGTGCTGTACATAAGGTGTTCCAGCCCAGTTCCTGAGCTGACAAAGCAAGCACTTTACACAAAACCGACTGTGGTTCATCAGAAATAATGCCTAAAAATCTATTCTGTTTCATCTTTGGTAACATCTGGTGCAAAATTTCCCATCCTATCCTGAAGAAGGAGACACAGGGTACAGTTTGAAAACATGGAAATTTCTGGGTTTTGAAACACACTGCTTCTGGAATCCTGATTCTTGAAGATGCAGCCACTGGGTAGCATGAAACAATATGATCTCCCACTTTGATCTTTTTTACATCACTGCCTGTTGCAACCACCGTTCCACTGTAGTCCAGAGCCAAGAACCTGTATTTATCAATGATCTGTGAATTCCAGTATAATGTGTTTCCAAAGTTACAGCTGGAAACACTAACAGGATAATAGTCTTCAGAATGGATACTTATTTTCTCAACTTGCACTTCAACATTGTGATTATCAAGAGAAATCTCAATGTGGTCAGCTGGCTCAGCAAATAGATCTCTTACTTCTTGAGGCTCAGAAGTGTAAAAAGTTGACAGCTCAGTTTCTTGAAGAGACTGAAAAGGATCGTTATAGGACCTATCATTAACCTGTGTACATCTAATTTCAGAAGTGTAAATTCTCCCCTGATTAATCCAGACTTCAGGATATTTATCTGCTTCATATTCTACTAAAACATCTGCTAAAACTGCTATGTCCATTGTACTTGTTGAACCGATATCAATAATCTGAAATGTGATTTCAGGAACTTCAAGAATGCAGGATCTTACCATCCCATACAAGGCCAAGCCAGGGTTAATGTGGTCTACAGTCCTGCCTGTTGCTCTATATGTAATTATCTTGATGGAACCCTGACTCTTCTTCTCTCTCAATGCAACGACAAGTTGCCGGAAAGCTTCACAACATTTGGATAAGCTTGCAACAACACTCTCAGGATTTTCTCCATTTGATCTTTGAATTCCCCACATAAACAAAACATCACTGTAGTCATGTACCTCTAGCCTAATTTTGTCCTGAGCAGCTGAATTTGCACTTCCTGACACCAGTAATCGCTCCCAGTCTTCATACATAAAAAACCTAGAATCTTTATGTAAATATTTTTTGAGCTGTTGAGAAACTCCAATTTTGTCAGCAAACACTGCAGCTCTGGGTGCATCTCCTGAGGTTTGGATAATCCGGGAAGGGGTTACCTCTTTCCACTGATTTTCAAAAAGGAAAGCATCATCACTATTGGACGTTCTCTTCAGAAGAGTGATCCCAACACGTTTAATCTCAATCAAAACAGAGCCTTGTTTATCTGTGAAGCATCCACAAAATTCTAAATAGTTCTCAGTAGACTTACTTGTTTTCAGATATATCATCATTTCCTCTTCCAAAGGTCGGACAATTACAAGGCTGCCTATGTTGGAAGGAAACCCTGTACAGTTGTTCCTGGTTTTTGTGGTCATCACACCAGTCATTTGCAGAAAGCAGTCTAATATCACTGGATGAATAAAATGCTTGTGCAGTTCTTCCCTGGTTTGCTTGTTCACCTTAATGGTGGTTATGGCTTCCTTCAGCTCTTCAAAATAAAACACATCACTTAGCTGCTTGAATACTGAACCATACTGAAATCCAAAACGAGATAATGCTTCGTATATTTCATCCTTTCTGACCATTGATTTACAACGCTGAAAAACATGTCTATATGAAATGTTATTTTCTTCAAGGAAGGTTTCTTGGTTCCATGTGATCTGTCCAGATGCATATACCGCACCAGATGAGGACAGTATTTTGAAATCTTTTTTTTCCTTTTGTGATACTACTGTTAGCTTCAAATCATGAGAATTTTCACTTAAAACACAAGGTGATTCAAACTTCATGCTCATCTGACACAAACTTAAGGGCTCCTTTCTTCCTGAGCTAGCCATCACAGCTGACAAAGCAAGTTCAACAAAAAAGGCACCAGGAACCAGAGCAACACCATTGAGCTTGTGCTCGTACAAATAGGGAGTCACTGTCTGAGATATGGAATGCTTGAATTCTGAACTGCCATTGCTGACATTATGAATTGACAGGTGGTTTGCGTTCAGCTTGGTTTGAGTTGGCTGCTGGAGCCTGTTTAAAAATGACATGAGCGTCTTATGATCAAATTGATACCTGGGGTAGGCTGCAGGTACACCCTGATATCCTGCATAGATGTGCTCCCAATCTGGATTGACTCCCAATTCAAAAAGGCCTTTAACAAGTGTGAGAAGTGTCATATATTCTTTGTCAAGGTGCAAGGAAGGAAAAACTTTAGCTTGTGTCCCTAATACTTCAATTATATATCTTTTCAGTGCACGCTGGGGACCAATTTCCACAAATACAGGATCATCTCTGCTTTTTGCTGCAGCTGTTATAGCCTCTGCAAAAAAAACAGGATCCCGAACCTGTCTGGCCCAGTAGGTGCCTGTAACAAAATCACCATCTGAAAAGGCCTTCCCTGTTGCTGTCGAAATTAGGTCAATCTCTGGCTTCCCTTTCTTTAATTCTGATAGATTGTCTGCTATCTCAGTTAGTACTGGATCCATCATTTGGCTGTGATATGCAGCTGGCACATTTAAACCATGAAGAAATATGTTTCTTTTACTGAAGTGCTCAGCCAGATCTTTCTGAATGGCATGGATAGACGCTTCATCTCCCGATAAGGTGCAAGACAAAGGACTGTTAAATGCTGCAACGCAGACTTTCCCTAAATATGCTCCAAGGGCTGCTGACACTTCTGCAACGGGAATGTTGCCAACCACCAGCATTCTGCCTCCAGTGACTTTAGCCTGTAGCCTGCTCCTGTGGTAGATGACTTTGACAGCATCTTCCAGGGAAATCAAGCCAGCACAATGGGCAGCAGCTACTTCGCCAACTGAATGGCCAACAGCAGCAATTGGCTTAATGCCCCAGTGTTGCAGGAGTGTAACCAAGGCCACCTGCAGTGTAAAGAGTAAGGGCTGGGCAACTTCAGGCCTGGAGAAATGTTTGTATTCATTTTCTCTTGATTTTAGGATTCCTGTGGGAAGGTATTCTAGAAACAGCCTTTCTATTTCTTTGCATTTGTCTCTAAACACTGGCTCAGTCCTTAGCAATATCTCAGGTATCCCTTTCAGATCCAGACCGTTACCAGAGAAGACAAAAATTAATTGTGGCGGTTTCTTCAGCGGAGCTGTTTCCAGTTCAACCGCAGGGGAAAGCTGTTGCTCTAGTTTCTGTAGTGAAGATGCCACAAATGCTTTTCTGTACTTGTAGTTTATATGGCTTCTTCTACAAGCAGATGTGTATGCCAGATTTGGGAGTGTCACTGATTCACTTGTATTAAGGTACCTAGCCGTGTCTTCTATCGCCCGTTTGAGAGAATTTCCTGAAGCTGCTGAAATGACAAATAGTTCGACAGGCCTTCGGACTGGAGAAATAACCTGGGTTTGTTTAAACTGTCTGACAACCACATGGGCATTGGTGCCCCCAAATCCAAAACAGTTGATCCCAGCAACTCTGCCATATTCACCAGGCTCCTCCCACTTCTCCACTGTTGTTGGGATGGAGAGATTCAGTTTCCCTGTATTTATGCTGCTGGTGCTCTCTGAAAAGTGCAAGGATGGGACTATCTTCCCATGGTGCATCATGAGAAGAACTTTGATTAAGCCTGCTGCCCCAGCAGCCGACTCTGTGTGCCCAATGTTCCCTTTAACGGAGCCAATCTTGAGAGGGGGCAGATTAGGAGACCTCTTTTGACCAATGACATTACCTAAGCTCTCTGCCTCAACAGGATCTCCTGCAGGTGTCCCTGTGCCATGTGCTTCAATATATTGCACAACAGATGGATCAACATGATCTGGGTAGATGCTGAGCAGCAACCTCTCCTGTTCCTCTTGAGATGGTCTGGTGATTGGTGTGACGGATCTTCCATTCTGGTTGACTGCACTCACGCTAATGACACCCCATATTTTGCTGAAGTCTTCCTGCGCCTATTTTAAAGAAGATGAAAAGAGGTAAAGCTTCTTAAAGTTGTGAAACATAGGGATGGCAAACACAGCCTGTGTAATATAACTCAGTTAACATTTTATGATATGCTCTCTCTCTTATACCAAAGATTATGAGACATGGTGAACATTCTACCAGCCATGACTATTTTATAAATAGAATTAGGCATAATTCCTAGGTTTAATGAATTAAGAGTCAGGAGTTTGTGAATCCCGTGTCTATACTCGTACCTTCTTTAACGATTTCAGCAAAATAACTCCACAACCTTCTCCCCTTCCATAGCCATCGGCCTTTATAGAAAAGGGTTTGCTGACTCCTTCAGGGGATAGCATCTTTGCTTTACTAAGAGCGACAAAGACCTGTGGTTCCATTATGCAGCTCACTCCTCCACAAAGAGCAGCTTCGCAGTCTCCTGTAGTGTAAAATAATGAATGCATTTCTGTTCAGCATAAGGCTCAGTATTTAGTCTTCTGAAAAGATTACATCGGTATACAAACATACACATTTACCTGCCCCTCCAAGCTTAAGGGCATTCCGTTAAAGGAATCCAGGGGTGTTAATCTTGTCCGAAGCCTGGGGCAGGGCTAGGGCCATGCCACGACCCCATCAGGAACCCTGGGTTAGCTCGAGTTGGTTTGCATGGACAGGGTTCCCCCTATCTGTGGTTGACCCTTACCGGACTCCCTGTGTGACGAGCAGGAGTCAGATGTAGTCGGGTCAATCCAATGCCTAAGCCATTAAAGCTCACATTCTGTAACCAATAAAGCTGTGGCCTAAATTTGCCCAATAACATTTAACTTAATACCTGTGCCCTTGTGTCTTATTCATCAATGAAGGGGTGGTTTCGGGGTCTCAACACGCAACAGTAAGTCTCTCATTGTTTGTGAGGGGAAATCTGTTGTTCTCTTTAAAATGTTCTAGTGTGAGTAAAGCAAATGTCTACGTCTTGTCACTAAATTAATATAAAATTATTTTCCTAACTTACGGTTAGCCACATCATTCCTATAAGCTCTTTTCTCTCTCACTTCCACTCAGTGCTTCCCTACTGGAGTTTATGGTCTGTGAGGCAACATACCTAAATTACAAAATGCACCCTGTGTGACATGACATAATATAACTGGTCCACAATATGCATAGTGTAAGGAAGACCAAGATAAATCCCAGAATTATACTTTGAAATATGTCAGTCTTATTTGTGAGTGCCTGTGGTCTTCAGAAGGCTGGGGGTTTTCGGGGGGGGGGGGGCTTTCACAACATACAAACTTCAGACCTTTCCAGAAACATATTCCAATATTTTACTGTGCCTTGCAACTGATGCTGCTAAATAGGGAATAAGAGGCAATATAAGAGGCAATATCGCGTGCAGTGGGGACTTGTTTGCCACTTTGAAGTCTTTGGAGGAAAGGAAGAATATGAACGAGTGGAAAACTATTAGATCTCATTACCTTGTTTAATTGCATGCAAAGCAAAGTGCAAAGCATAAGAAAATGAGGAGCAAGCCGTGTCAATGGCAACCGATGGCCCAGTCAGATTAAATGTATATGAAATCCGGTTAGCAGCTATGCTCATTGCTGTCCCGGTGCCATCGTAGTGGCTTGCTTCAGTGGGGGTTCTGCTACTCATTAGCTTGTAGTCTTGATTCATCATACCTGTGAATACCAAAGATGTACTGTGTTACCAGCATAGTACATTGAGAGTACAGTATTCATTCTGAACAACTTGATTGCATTTATTGCTCTAGATCTGCCACACACAACATGCTTCAATCTACACAACAAGATTAGGCTTTTCATTGAGTCATCTTCGTAAGGGAATGCTATGCAGCTATTCAGGTTTGTGAGTACTGATCAGCTAAGTGGATAGACTTTGAGTTGTGAGACTAGGGTTAAAAAAAACAAATCCACCATAAATTGCATTTCCTAGCTCTCTGCTAATCTCTCCGCAGGTCTCCACTATATAAAATCTGAATGCAGTTCACCTACCTAACAGGGTTGCTGTACAAATGATCATGTTTTACAAGAATGTTTTACATACATCACTAATAATATGAAAACCGTATTATTCCTCAAATTTGAACTGAATATTGGAAATACTGCATAAATGTTGCTTTATAGCATAGTATTATTTATGTGTTTTATTTACTATAAAATCCATATTTACATGTTCTATTCAAAGCAGCTGATAGTCACAGAATTTCTTTTAATGATCATAAAGTCCAACAGCTCTCTTAATACACTAGACTTTATTTTTTTAAACTGCAAATCATGTAACTGATTAATCACCATCAACAGTGCTGTTCATGTAACCAATAGTTACATGTTTGTTTCTTGAGTTATATCAGTTTAAACTTTCTTTAGCTTGTAATGCTCTTAAGCACAGTTATATTTACTGTCTAGACAACTTCACATTTTCTTCAAAAATATTGTGTAGTCAGCAATAGATACTCTCAATTGTCTTTAACAGTGGGCTGAATTACATTAGCACGTGTTACCTGTTGACATCAATTAAAGTTCATTTGTTCAATAAGTATAGGTATGTTGAACCCATTTTTCAAATGTTCTGATGTATATTTGGGAGCTATTTCACCATTACCAATCACTTTTTTGGGGTTTTTAAGTGATCTGCAAATGAACCTTAAGTGTTCATAAGACTTCATTAACACAACACCACAATAGGAAAATTCTATTCATAACTGAGTAGGATCTAAGCTAATGGTATTTACTCCCAAGTAAGTACGTGGACATGGGTGGTGCTGTGGTCTAAACCACTGAGCCTAGGGTTGGGGGTTCGAATCCCCGTGACGGGGTGAGCTCCCATTGCTCAGTCCCTGCTCCTGCCAACCTAGCAGTTTGAAAGCACGTCAAAGTGCAAGTAGATAAATAGGTAACACTCCGGCGGGAAGGTAAACGGCATTTCCGTGCGCTGCTCTGGTTTCGCCAGAAGCGGCTTAGTCATGCTAGCCACCTGACCCAGAAAAACTGTCTGCAGACATGAGCGCTGCACCCCCAGAGTCGTTCGCGACTGGACTTAACTGTCATGGGTCATTTACCTTTACCTTTTTAAGTGTGTATAGGACTGCAACCTAAGAGAATTATGTAGACCAGCCCTATATGTTCCAGTCTATGCTCCTAAATTAGTGCAACTGTTTTAAGCTTCAAATTATCATCTCACCAACAAAAACCCCTGTTTTTGAACCACTTATGTTTTCTCTAGGGACTCCTGCATCTTCCAGTGCTCTATACGTGCATTCCAGGAGTAATTTCTGCTGGGGATCCATACGCTCAGCTTCCACATCATTAATTCCAAAAAGTCTGTTGTCAAATGCATTAAACCTACAAAACAGAAGTCAGATAATAACATTGTAAGTAGGAGAAAATAATATGCAACCAACTCATGGCACATTCATTAATAAGACAATCAAATATTTTGACTTTTAGAAAATTATTTTCATTAATCATTTTAAAATAAAAGGCTTTAATAATTTGGTCATTTGTTCTTGGGGAAGGTAGAATGAAAATAGAAGAATATTTAGAGCCACTACTTAATAGTGGCTTAGGATAGTGGACATAAATATTTGTAGAATTGGATCCAAAGTACCATGAGTAGAGGGAGAAAATATAGGGGTGCTGTTCTGAACCTTTATACTAGCAAAAGGCTATATTAAACACATGGTAAATAAAGATACAAGCTTTAGAATACAGAGGGGAACTCAAAGGTTTTGAAAAGCACTAGCGCAAAGTCTTGTGCAAGAATTCTTGCAAATGAAAGGACTTATTTAGAGTTAGGACTACTCTCTTTTGTTGAATCAGAAACAGGCCTTCCACAAAAGGAAGAGGCATTCTTCTTGATTTTGGATCCTAGTCATAACGTTGCACGTGCCTGAATATTTCAGATTCCACACTAGTTTCAGCTGTTATCAAAACACTGAATAAAATGAAATTCAAATAAACAGATGGCAGGAAAGCCCACATATCCCTGGCAGCCGGCCTGGGAATTCCCCAATGGCCGACCACCTTGCTCAGGCGTTGCTCCCCAGGGATAGGACCTTGCTGTGGCTGGCTTCCAAGCCGCCCACCCTGTGACTGGTTAAGCAGCCATTAGGATCAAGGCCTATCTAGTCCAGCATCCTATTTGCAATATTGGGCAGACAGAAGTTTCTGAAAAGCTTTTGAGCAGGGTAGGAAGGCAAAAGTCCTCTTCTGCTACCTCACAAGTGGTATTCAGGTGTTCACTGCTTATATGCAGTTATTTTCAAAATTGGATGATAACTTATGGACATTGTTTTATAAATTGAACTCTCTCTAGTGGGGAGAAAGCAGAGGAAGGCGGGCCCAAAAAGGAACCATAGAGGAGTTGTGCCAAAGTTTTGGCCTTGTATAATTTTAGAGCTGTGGGGACGAAGAAGCCCCCTTGTGCTCTGAAGAATTTAAGGATACAATTTGCGGGTTTTTTCGCTGAACTCCCGATGGAGTTTATGTGTAGTTTGTTGGTTCCTGAGGCCTGTACCACCATTCCTAGATACTTGTAGTTTGTGGCTTGTTCTAGTTTATGGCCTTGGAGTTCCCAGCTTCTAAGCTTTGGTTTTCCCCAAAAAACAAGTATCTTGGTCTTTTGATAGTTGATTTTGAGACATTCAGTTTCACAGTATGTTGCAAGCTTTCTTAGTGCTCTTTTGAGTCCAATGGAGGTTCTAGATAGAATTACCGCATCATCGGCATATAGCAGGACCGAAAATATGCCGATTTGCAATCTTCGGCGGGTGGAGTTCTGAGTCATTGAGTGCAGGTACTAAGTTATTTAGATAGAAATTAAATAGTAGACGGGGCCAAAGGCACCCTTGCCTGACTCCTTTGAAGGAAAGTGGAGGACAGGTGACCTCCACCTAGGCCCGAGTCACCCCCCACCAAGCAGGCCTCAAAGCTTCTTCAAAACTTTTCCCAAATCATTTTCTCAGCAGCTAAGCATCAGAAACATTCCGCTCTGCTGTGAACAAAGGTAGAGACCAGTCCATTGTTTCCTCAGGCCCTTTCTCATGTCTTCTGGCCTTGCCTAAAGAACCACACTTGCAACTTACTTCTGTCCGGTGAACCATGCCAGAAAAAGATTGAAAACATATCTGAACATGCTGAAAAACCCCTTGGCTTTCACCCCCCCCTGTCCTGGGAAGGGTGCCAGAGTCCACAATAGTCCCAAACAGCTTTTTGTTCATGCTCAGAGGAACTCCCTGAGGGAGGAGAAAGGCGGAGGGAACTGGAAAGGGCTATAATATGCTTGTGCACATGATTGTGAACTCGTGCATGCTTTTTGTGACTTATCCACACTTGCTCCTTCTACCAGTTCATGGATGGTCAGAAATAAAAGCCTTTTCTCCGAAACTAGTTCCTTGAGTGTTCCTGTTGACTCCCACTTCCCTTCCCAGGCGGCATATTTTCCCACCCGAGGGCAAAGCCTCATAAGGATACCACTTTGAGGTATTAATAGGGTCCGTTAGATGTCCTAGGCCGGCTGCACCTGACTCTAAGAGCTTGTGTTTGGCGTGTTGGTTCTGGAGACTGTTATCAAATGCTGCTTTTAGGTCGTGTTATATCCAGAATGTTTTATCCTATGCCTGTTTCCTTGTCCTCATTTGCTCTAACAATTATCGGTTAAAAAATTCCTAACTGCCTATTTTATCTATATGCTTTTTTTAAATTCTGGTCTGAGACCATAATAAAGTTCATTCATTCATTCATTGTTTTATATATAAACAAGTAGATGCAGCAAAACAAGTTGATAGCCCAGTTCAAATAGACACTTTAATTGCCAAAAAATGAGATAAAATGGGATTTGTCATATGGTTAAGGGAAATACAATAAAAACCTCCATGAGTAAACAGGTTTTATAAAAAATATTCTGGTTAAGATGTTCAAGAAACAACTCCACATCTATTAAAATACAAACTGAAACAGTTTAAATTTGTGGATTAAAAACAAAACAAAAAACTCATAGCTGTTCCATTTACCGTATTTCTTGCTCTATAAGACTTAATATTTCCCTCCTAAAAAGTAAGGGGAAATGTGTGTGCGTCTTATGGAGCGAATGCAGGCTGCGCAGCTATCCCAGAAGCTAGAACAGCAAGAGGGATCGCTGCTTTCGCTGCGCAGCGATCCCTCTTGCTGTTCTGGCTTCTGGGATTCAGAATATTTTTTTTCTTGTTTTCCTCCTCCAAAAACTAGGTGCGTCTTGTGGTCTGGTGCGTCTTATAGAGCAAAAAATATGGTAGTTATCCTGAGTAATAGTCATTGATGGACAAATTTCTATGATCCGATTCTTTTTCAAAGCTACTTTTAAGCCAGTGTCCACCATCTCACGCACCCACATGCTGTAGCCACAGATTCTGAAAATAATTTACACACTGTGTAATTAAGATTAAGAAACAATTTGCAGTAAATTCTATTTCCAAATGAACTGACTTAAATAGTTATGTAGTTCAGGCTGCAATCCTATACCCAGTTAACCTGGGAGCAAAGCCCATTGAACTCATCTGGAATTGTACCATCCATGGGACAATCATATTAAGCTAAAACAAAACTGCTTCAAGCCTGTAGCTCCAAAACCATTTTTGCTTACTATGAAAAAATGACTGGCATCACGCGTAGAAAAGTGTCTTTGAAATGTATTATCTATTTTCCTTAACATACACCAAATGTGTACGTTTAGGCAAATTACTTTACAATAAAAAATATTAAAAACAGTTTAGTGTTCTGCTTCCTTGGAGCTGATTCACAGTTTATTTTCCACCATCGTGTGATTAAGCATTAACACTTACTCTTCGGTAAAAGCAGCATGTCTTGTGCTCGTCTTTCCTGGTTTGTGACTGTCTGGATCATACCAGCTTTTGGTTTCAAATCTTTCCGGAGGTATTTCTACAACACAGTTTCTGCCTTCTACTAGAACTCGCCAGAAATTATCAATTCCTTCACCTGTTGAAAATATATTATTTTAGATAGCTGGAATTTACTTCCCAATAGTTTATTTATTAAAATAGAAACTTAAATTATTTTGGTGTGATTCGTTTGACAGAAACTACAATGGAACCCCGGTTGTCAAACGTAATCCGTTCTGGAAGAGCCGTTCGACTTCTGAGGCGCATTCGAAAACGGAAGCATTCACTTCCCGGTTTTTGGCATTCGGCTTCCAAATCGTTTGGCTTCCGAGATGCTCAAAAACCAAAGTTCCATTGTATAAGACAATTAAAAAATTCTGAGTAAATAACTCAACATGATAGCTCACCCAGTAGAGCATGAGACTCTTAATCTTAGGGTCATGGCTTTGAGCCCCATGTTTGGCAAAATGATTCCTGCGTTGCAGGGGGTTAAACTAGATGACCCTCTTGGCCCCTTCCAGTTCTATGATATTATGATTCTATATTATTTTATCATAGAACTGTATATCAGAAGTGTGCATCCATGATTCAGCCTTACCACATGAGCCGATACGGATTATGATCATTAAAAAGCTGCTATATGAATACTGCTGTATCATTGCACTAGAAGTATAATCATATTCCCTGTTAGTTCTAATATAAAGATCTCTGGTAGCACCCACTACACATTTACTTATACTTAATATGTGATTTAAAGGAGCAGTGCTCACCTCCAGGAAAATTGCATCCGATCCCCACAATGGCAATTTCATCCTCAGTGTCCATCAGTTTTTTTTACTTTTATTCTGAAAAGTATAAAATAATTAGTTCAATGAATCCACATCTAAAATTAAAATATGTTTCCCCAACAGGGTGAGCGCTGCATTGCAGGGGGTTGGACTAGATGACACTTGGGATGCCTTCCAACTCTACAATGATACGATTCTATGATTTCTGTGTGGTCATTTGGGATAATCCTTAGGGAACATAATGTCAATGACCAATCATTATTGGCTTAATTAATGGCAAGCACCAGCCAGAAAGTGGACATTTAGATGGAGCCAATATATTCTAGTTACCACTGGGGGCCAAAGTAGACATGATGTTAAATACATCTTCATCTGTCCCATCCCTTTTTAAATAACAGGTGGGAGTAGGGGCTCCTTAATTATTTCCTAGTGCTTCCGCCCCCGCACAAGGGAGAAGCTATAACTGAGTGGTAATAGCACATATGCCTTCCATGCAAAAAGTCCCTGGTTCAAGCATCAGCATCTCAAGCCAAAACCATCAGATGGTGATGGGAAAGACTGCGGAGTGCCGGCTGCCTGCTGCCAGCTAGTTAAAACATACTGGGCCAGATGTACAGACAGTCTGACCTGTCAGATGCTTTCCTGTCTTCCTAATGTAAA